CTTATCCCTCCTGTGTTACGAAGCTACAGAAGCAAAAGGGGTTTAAGCTTTCAAATTGGGCCTTTTCTTTTAACATTTATGGGCTTCTTCGTAAATTTAAATGGGCCTGATTTCGAATTCAACAAAATTGGGTATTTTAATTCTTAATTTTGTGTGTCAGACCATGATTAAACCGAACTAAACCGACGAAAAACTGAAATATATTCAGTTATTCACAGTTTTTTTTTTTGTGGGGGTTTGTTTGTTTTTTTTACGAGAGAAAAATTGATTTTAAACCCAACTGAAAAGACAAAAACTGATCAAACCTGTAAATATTTGATTCTAAATAAGTTTAATCAAAACCAAAATTATATATAACTGATTCGAAGGAATTTCAATTTCATAAACCATCTGAATCGAAAACTAGATTAGCTAGTTTCGAAGTACTTATTCCTGTGACAGTTTGAAGGTCTGTGTAGAAGACAGATTGTAATAACTAAAAAAAAAATGTGACAAATTACAAAAGATTCAAGCAAAAAGGGTTTTTTTCTTCAAGGAACTCAGAAACTGAAACTGTTAAAAGAGTCTAACAATGCTCTTCAAACAGACCTGAATTTATTTGCAAATCCCATTTATCAAGAGAGATCACTCATACCAAAAAAAAGAGAGGAGAAGAAACAGGATATAGAAAACCTTGAGAAGCACACAAGATTTAGCTAGACATTGGATGATTGTAAACGTATTCAATGGCGAGAGAGCAAGAATCGATCTTATCGGCTTCTTTGTCTGGGATTTCCAGTTTGAACTCTTCTTCAATAGCCATCACTATCTCCACTGTGTCCAAACTATCTAATCCCAGATCGTTTTGGAAATGAACATCAGGAGTCACCTGTAGATATTATACAAAAACAAATGCTTGNAAGATTTGTATGACTTCAGACAAGAATGATGCTCACATCTATTACAAACATGAATACAAAATCCATAAGATTGACCATATCAATCAAATTCATGACAGATACAACAAATCTAAAGCAGTAGATTCTGATGAGAAGCAACATTACTAAACCCTTGAGATAAAAAAAAAAAACCATAGATTCACAAACAACATTACTAATGCAGCATTGTTTCAGATACCATTTGGTGTATATTCCCACTAGATCAATCAATACAAATCAACCCAAAAGCTACAAAAGTTTGTCCATTGATCCAACAATGACGAAAACCAGAGATAGAAACCACGATTTGATCCAATGAAACTACCGGTCTAAATCGAATCTGAGCATTAAGCTAAATCAGTCTTCAATTTACGAAGATCGAAACTGACCTTAGCGGGATCGACTTTAGGGAAGCTCTTGACAACATCAAGAACCCTATCGACGACAGCTTCTCTGCTGAGATGATCATCGTGCGCAGAAAATGAACGGATCGAACCAAGGAACCCAATTTGAGACTGATTCGATCCTCTCAATGCTAGGGTTTGCACTGGAACCCTAACGTGACGAAGAATCGCATTTCTCAGTGCCATTTCTCTTCTTCTTCGAGCTCTCAGAAAATTAGGGATTTGATGAAAAGTGTGAAGAAGAAAGGATTTCACTTTTCAGGTCATAAGAGATGAAGGCACGTGCTTCTCACGTGTTTGCTACTATAAGCCCAGCCCAAGCATGTTTAGAGGCCCATAATATTTTAAATTTTTGCAAATCTGCATCTTACTTTCTATATATTGTAAATTATCCCCAAAATAGTTTCTAATTTCACATAATTGACCCGTTTGTCTTCTTTTACGAATAATAAACAAAGACACTAATATCATCAGTATTTGCAATTCCAGAGCGACGGGATCTCTCCGGCGAAAATCGGAAAAACTCATCTCAACGAGATCTCGACGTATCTCAGATCCGTCCGGCTAGGTTAGATCTTTGAGAAATCATGGCTCCGGTGTCGGCACTCGCCAAGTATAAGCTTGTGTTTCTGGGAGATCAATCCGTCGGAAAGACAAGTATCATCACTCGATTCATGTACGACAAATTCGACAATACGTACCAGGTAGAATTCGTTTTCCCGATCTACGTACGTTGTTTGGATTTAGCGGATTATAGTCGGAACAAATCCTGGGTTTGGTTGATATTGAGATCCATTTTCACGGTCGTGGATTTTGTGTGTGTTTCATGTAAAAATTCTGATTCGTTTTCGTGATCTCGCGTTTGATTCTGTGTAATTGTGTGTGATCTGAATTGTAGATCATGTGCGATCTTCTCTAACCTCTCATTGTTCGTGATTTTGGCTTTGTATCACTCACTTTCCGTTGTTGTACATACTCGATGATGTTAGACCGTAGAAGATCGAAGGTTATCATTGTTTATAGTTTCTCAGTTGATGAATGAAAGTCTATGATCATGATTTGTATATATGATCATTACGTTTAAGCTCTTAATAGTAATTGAACCATGCTTGCTTAATCATCATTATACTCAATGTTCTTCTTTTATTCTAAGTAGTTTTATGTTGTTTTCATTAGGCCACAATTGGTATTGATTTTTTATCAAAGACAATGTACCTTGAAGATCGAACCGTCAGATTGCAGCTGTGGTATGATCTGGAACCTCTTTCGATTTTCGAACTGTGAAGAATTAGCATTGCATTTTGATAGTTAACATTGAGAGCCGAAACATTTGACAGGGATACAGCTGGGCAAGAGAGATTCAGGAGTCTTATTCCGAGCTATATCAGGGATTCGTCTGTTGCTGTTATTGTCTATGATGTTGCAAGTATGTGTACATTCGCTCTTTCTCTGCTTTCTAAACTTCTCTTAAACACATGCATACTTTCCCGTATTTGAGATGTTGAGGCTGTGATATTCAGTAATCTTATGAGTAGATGTCTATCCTTCAAAATTTGTTTATTGTGATACTCAAATCATAATTTTGTTTTCCGTTGACATATAGGCAGGCAATCATTCCTAAACACTACTAAGTGGATCGATGAGGTTAGGACAGAGCGTGGTAGTGATGTCATAGTTGTGCTTGTGGGAAATAAAACCGACCTTGTGGACAAAAGGTAATAATGATCTACCATCTTCCTTTTCATTGGTAATTCTCGATGTGAAAATCGCTATATCGGCACTGAACATTTGAAAATCCTCGTTTTAACACGGTCTGATTATTTTGCAAGTATGAGTATTATTTTGTACTAAAGTACTTAACATTGTTAAAGTACTAATGAGTGTCTATCTGTTGGCATTGAGTATGTTCCCAAATGACCCAACAAGATAGCTAGTGGAAAATCATTTGGTGCTCAACTACATATAATCAAAACTTTTTCTTGAAGTTCAACACGCTTGACACTTAATGGTGGGGTGCCTACTATTTGTTATTGCTAATGGGGCCTTCGTAATCAATTGTTTGTTTCTCAGGCAAGTGTCGATAGAGGAAGCAGAAGCCAAGGCTCGTGAGCTTAATGTAATGTTTATCGAAACCAGTGCCAAAGCCGGTTTCAACATAAAGGTAACAAAGATCTTCCCTTCACTTATCTCTGAGGGTTTCGTGGAATAAACAAAAAATCGATGCTAAATCAGCCTAAACCCGAACACAAGTATACCAATGTGCTGCTTAGTAAAGACTAATTATACATCCTCTTCATTCATATGGACCTCTCTTTGATACTCTCTAAACATTCACCGCAAAATTCAGAACGCTATAAAAATCCGTCCCATTTTTAATTTTGTGGACTTCTTTTAATTGATTGGCAGGCGCTCTTCCGCAAGATAGCAGCAGCTTTGCCTGGAATGGAAACATTGTCTTCGACAAAGCAAGAGGATATGGTTGATGTCAATCTCAAGTCTTCCAATGCAAATTCATCTTCGGCTCAGCAACAATCAGGAGGATGCGCTTGTTAAATTGGCCGCG